TTTATTTGCTAGGAAATAGAATGTTTCTAGACGCAAAGGACACGTTGTAGATCAGCCTTAACACTAACACTAACACTCACACTCACTCGCGCACTCGGTCCTTTCTCCTTTCGCGAACAGTCAGAGCTAAATTGTCAATCGACACGGAACGCGACGACGCACGAAAAAATCGGCCATATTCAAATCCAGATACGGCGCAGCGAGCAACCGGCCGCGAATGGCGCACCGAAACACTTCGCAATTCCAGTATCTTCGTCTCGACGGCTCCGCCTCGAGTGAATCGCGCGACACATCCACTCTTCGTTCTTTTTCTCGCAATCGATCAATGTCTCTCGATCCGTAAACCGACACAGCCGCTACGCACTCGTTCCGACAAACTTGATACACTCGCGAATCGTTGCGCGCGTAACCGTCAAAGGCTATTGTATACGACTTACGTTTCCCACTGCTTTGCCCTACGTCTACGACTGAGACAGTCTTAAGCGTTTACGGATTGTTCTCTGCCATCTGCCTGACACTCACTCGCGCACTTGGTCCTCTTCCTCCTTTCGCGAACAATCGGCAATCAATTACGACTACGTTCAACGAGAGACTCATTGCAGCTTCGTCCCGCGCAAGCTACTCGCTCGAAGCAGAAATGGAGACGGAAATAGAAGACGCGAGTTACCGTTTCACCGCACAAAATGCACGCGGAACGACGAATATCGATTAACTGTCAATTTCACGCACGGCGTCTTCAAGATCTCTCACTTTTCACATGAGATTTGTGTCCATTATTGCACGCACTGCGCGAGGAATGATATATTCGCGAGAAATCGACACGAGTTCACGGAAACCTCACAAAATGGAAGACACGGAAGTCCGCGCGAGTAATTAAAGACCAAGATTCGGATCTGTCTCGCCTCAAATCACTTGTTTCTCACAAATAAACTCACTGAACACGGAAATACTCGCGAACCGCCAAATACGTACGGAAGGAAAGGCTAGGGGGGACACGGCCGCGGGTCGGAAAGTCCAGCGACGGCGTCCGGCGTCGGCGTCCAGCGTTTATCACATTTAGCGACGATGTCCCGCTCGTTGCCGGTTGCCGCGAGAAGAAACGGAATGTTCGGTACACATTTAGTTCGCGAATCACTGCAATCGAACTTCTTTTCACGCGCGAGCTACGGAGGCGGGCGTGAACGCGTACTAACAGAAATCGCCTAGTGCGCGCTACGCGCGGTCGAGCCGCCGACCGCCGCACGACGAGCCGCGGCGCGCGATTGGCCGCGCGCGCGGCGAGCCCCCCGGATCCAGCCAGTCGCGCTCGCCGGCTCACGGCCGGCGGCGGCTCGAGCCGCCGTACCGTCGCGTGCCCTTGGCCGTACACTGAGTAGCGTAAATAACGTTTTTATTACAATACACTTCAGTTAACGCGTGATTCTCAATTGTTTTTTCTTCGGCGTTTCAACGTACGTGCCGAGGTGAATTAGGAGTCAGTCGCCCGCGGGATCTCGAGTCGATAGGACGTGTTTCGTGCGTCGCACGGTCGAGCCGCCGAACGCCATTCTCTCCGGCTTCCCTTCGAATCAGCCTATCGTTCTAGAAGTTTGTCGGCCGGCGGCGCAACTGAGCGCGCGCTTCCAACGCATTCTCGTGACTCGGAAACGACATTTATTACCTTCCGCGTCGGCTGGTGCGCGATCGTCTATTGTGTCTCGTTCGGTGTTCGAACGTACGTGCCGAGGTGAAGCGGGAGTCACTCGCTCGAGGGATCTCTAGTCGATAAGACGTATTTCGTGCGAGCCGCCGAGTGCCATTCTCTCCGCGCATCGACCAATCGCATTCGACGTCTCTCAGCCGGCGGTGTAACTGAGCGAGCACGGCGAGGAAATAACGAACGGATTCTCAAGACTCGGAAACAACGTTCGTTACCTTCCGCGCCGGTTATCAAGTGATACTGTGGATTCATTTTTCGTTCGGCGTTCGACGTACCTGTGCGACGAAGTGACTCGGCGCCGGCGGCCGGTTAATTCGCCCGAAGATTCTCGAGCGGACAGGAAGCGTCCGCGAGTTACTCGCCGCGTTGTGACATTTTCCGCGTGTGGTTGGCACCCATGTTCCTCTTTCCGCGGGAATCGTCGGTTACGCGCGCAACGATTCGCGAGTGTATTAAGTTTGTCGGAACGAATGCGTAGCGGCTGTGTCGGTTACGGATCGAGAGACATTGATCGATTGCGAGAAAAAGGACGAAGAGTGGATGTGTCGCGCGATTCACTCGAGGCGGAGCCGTCGAGACGAAGATACTGGGATTGCGAAGTGTTTCGTTGCGCCATTCGCGGCCGGTTGCTCGCTGCGCCGTGTCTGGATTTGAATATGGCCGTTTTTCTCGGGCGTCGTCGCGTTCCGTGTCGATTGACAATTTATCTCTGACTGTTCGCGAAAGGAGGAAGAGGACCGAGTGCGCGAGTGAGTGTTAGTGTTAGTGTCGCTTCGACGGAAACCGACGCAGCCGGCCACCCGAGAGGACAGCCTGAGAGGAGGAGGAGGCCCCGGCAAGGGCATCGGGCACCGGCGGAGGAACTTACGGTAACTTTGATTTTGCACAAAAGCGACCTTTTTAGCCACATATTTTTATGGCATGCCGTTTTACTTTTTAATAGCATAGATAATATTCTACTCGATATAAAAGCTTCAAAAAATAATTGTGTAAGAAAAATGGCGATTCTTATTAATGAATTAAAATTATGTCGAACATAATAAAAATTGAGTGAATTAAAATTATGTCAAGACATAATAAAAATTATTCGGACTTATTTTTATGTCCCGACATAATTTTAATTTCACGAATTAAAATTATGTCTTGACATACAAATAATTCCGAATTTTTATTATGTCTTGACATAATTTTAATTCACTCAATTTTTATTACGTTCGACAATTATTATTACGTCTTGACATAATTTTAATTCATCAAATTAAAATTATGTCAAGACGTAATTCATACAATTTTTATTATGTCTAGACATAATAATTGTCATAAAATAAACGCATAATTCTATAATTTAGAAAAAAATAAGTAGAGAACAAGAAATAATTAAAAATTTGATAAAAGTTCATTCTGGTGAAGATCTTTTGCGAAAAATCTTTTGGGAATTAATCATACAAATATCCAACCAAATAAAACGTTTATTATGCATAAGAATTACTTACATTTTACAATTTAATTTTCTTGAACAAGCTGATTTAATAAATTCTATTTTTTGTGTGTTACAGAATCAACGTTACAGAATCTAACTCCGCTGCTGCGCATCGGGTGGTAAGTACAAAACTTTTTTATTAAGGCAACGTATCTACATCTCGTAGATCGTAGAATGTAGATCGTAGTTCGTAGATTAGTATATCTCGTAGATACGTTGCCTCAAAATGGATGGAGTACAATTTAATTTTATATTTATTATATATTTTATCTATCGAAAGGGAGTGACCGTGATTTTTACTGTGGAGGGTCGGATGCCCCGTTGCGGTATATCATATTTTCCCTTGTAGCCTATCCATTTTGCATTAACAAATTTATGTGTAAAGTAAAACATGACGTGAGATTCTAATATTTGGTCGAGAACGCTGAAACTTTATATTATTTTCACACATTATTTGATATTATTGCTTTACTAGAATATTCAATTGTCCGTCTATCTATCGTACGGAAAGTTTCTTTTCTCTGGGTCTCACGTCATTTATCCCGTATGTGTATCTCGCGATACACTTTCAAGATGCGTCTCGCATTAATACATGCATAGTTACACACGCATCTTCGTATTTTCGCGGTCGGTCTTCGCGATCAGTTTTTTAGAAAATTTTTAAGAAGTTATTAATTGTTTAATTTCATTTATATTATAAGTTTAAATTTATCGCGGAATGTCATTAAAATATTAGAGATTGAGTCACGAAGAGACAGTCATTATCTATTCTCGAATAAATAACGAAAGTAATGACATATTTGATTAGTTTCATACAGAAAAACTTTTTAATTAATTTTCTTCTTTACTTAACTTATCGTGGTCGTGCATTTCGATACGATCGTCGATCGCATACAGTTTGAACCGTACGAAATATTTGTCGGTGACGATAATAAACCGATTACGGAAGGAATTTTCTTCCTTCTTGATCTCTGGTCAAAATGATCAGACTGCATGGCCAGGAGCAACGAATGGTAGGTCCAATCTGGCCCGACGAAGGAATACGACGAGGTGAGTGGCATTGGCCACTTTAATGAAGTATGTAAGTAAGGTGTTGTACGAAATAAGTTGATCCCTTCTTATTTCTCAAAATCCGGGTGGGTTATATTCTTATCTTCTATACACATTTTCGCATATGTATGTGCAAGATTAAAAAGACTCCTATTAAATCGCGCACATACATATAATCCCAAATCGGACCTCTTATAAATCGCGCCTCGGTTTCGAAGCTTCCAATGTTTCGAAGTTAACTTCGAAGTCCACTTGGAAGCTTCGAATTCTTTCGAATCTTGTCTGCCCTAGACTCGACCAATCAGTGTTGAATTAGAACCAGTGAACTCTATACATACTGGAATGAGTGATCTATAGTTCTGGCTGTAGCCGAGAGAGAGGTGCGTTGGGTGAATCCTTGTCTCCTTCTAGTACTACCTGATTGGATAATCGCATATAAATGACGCCCTTCTTCTCGTCATTTATGTGCGACTATCCAATCAGGTAGTACTAGAAGGAGACAAGGATTCACCCAAACGCACCTCTCTCTCGGCAACAGCCAAAACAATAGATCACTCATTCCAGTATGTATAGAGTTCACTGATTAGAACCAATCTACGACCCTTGCGACATTACGAGACGACCAATGTAAAACCAGCCTTGTGGACCGAGCTCGTTGCGCTTATCAACAAGTAGTTATTTGCCGATAAAGTTTCACGCAATTTATACCCGCAATGCGGACTTGCGATTTTATTCGCGACAGCTAGAGAGATCCTCGACGACGCGCCGGTACATTATCCCGCGAATCCCGTCGGTAACGCGGGGATCCACGATATCGCTCGTACTCGTGACTGTTGGTGCACTAGCGCCGCCTGGTGCCGAGCGGGAGAAACGACGCGGCGTTCCTTCTCTCTCCACCGCTCCCCTCCAGTGCTCCGTGCCGTCGCAGGCGCCGGTGGCAAAGCGCGGGTTACGGTTTAAGTTGCATTTTAGATGCGAACGAACGCGCATCTCTCTCTTTTGGGTACGCGGCTACGCGGTGAACGTTTCGCGTGACGTCGGGCGCGCGGTTACGAACCCGTAAGTGCGACGCGAGTCGATTGTGAGTTCCTGCCGACACCGGATCCGCGAGACGTGGGGACCGACCGGTGAGTCTTTCAATATTTTATATTCCCGTCCGGGGGTGCGTCAAGTTTTATCTCGAGTTCGGGCCGCGCGCGATCTCGCGCCTTGGCTCCCGTACGCGCGAAAATTCGCGCGAACGTCCGCTCGTCTCCGTCGCATTCGCGCGCCAACTAAAATGTAAACGACGAGCCGCCCTGCGCCCACTCATTAGCCTTTTCCTTTGTCCCACCGGCGATTGAACTCGGGGTTAGTTTCCTCGGTCAGCGTTCCTTTTCCGATTGTGGATCCTTTGACCGATTGGAACGCAGTTACGCGAGAAAAATCCAGCTCCGCTCTGCCGGATTTAACCAGTTTAGAGAAACATTTCGAATAAATCTCCATAGCGGTGCGGGATTAAAAATAGAATGAATTTTGTGTTTCGCTCGGCACGTCTGTTTTTCGACACGCGATAGCTGCTTTGACGGTCGGTTTTGTTACGCTTAATGCACTGCCGACACGTATCCAGAGATGTAAAAATTGAAAAATTGCCTCCCAATCGCTTCCTTTCCGTCGCGATCGTAATTGCGAGCCGGTTCTCGCGCGGCATCGTTGTTTCCGAGCCTGATCTACAATGCGCTCTTTGCGGCTGGAAGCATTCTATTTTATATAAGCAAATAAAAAAACCTATCAACAATGTGCGATTGTACAATGTACAAATTATCAACTTTCATAACTTTTTAAACCATTTGTTGGCTACAAAATAGACGCGAAGAGCGCATTGTAGATCGGGCTTGACGGTTACTTTATTTTCGATTATCTCAGCCACTGCAGCGGTTACTTCGATGTCATTGCGACGCTATGCTAATCTGAAAATCGTTCAACTTTTAACGCGTCTCTTAAGGACGTTACTCGGCAAATCAATTCTCTTTGTATTTGCTTCCAATTTGGACCATGTACTATTAATCTATAATGTGTCTGCTCAAAAACTGTGCCTGTACCAAACTCGAGATATTCAATATCAAGGTTACTCGTGTGGTATGGGCGAAGCGTGTTCTACAGGGACATTTTAATTTATTGCGATAGAAATTGAAGATCGGGACCACGTAGCTGTTTATGCGTAATTGTAGATCGGGCTTGACGGTTACTTTATTTCCGATTATCTCGGCCACTGCAGCGGTTACTTCGATGTCATTGCGACGCTGTGCTAAACTGAAAATCGTTCAACGCGTATCTTAAGGACGTTACTCGGTAAATCAGTTCTCTTTGCTTCCAATTTGGACAATATGCTATTAATCTATAATGTGCCTGCTCAATTTTAAAAACCGTGTCTGTACCAAAGTCGAGATATTCAATATCAAAGTTACTCGTGTGGCATGGGCGAAGCGTGTTCTACAGGGACATTTTAATTTATTGCGATAGAAATTGAAGATCGGGACACGTAACTGTTTATGCGTAATTGTAGATCGGGCTTGACGGTTACTTTATTTCCGATTATCTCGGCCACTGCAGCGGTTACTTCGATGTCATTGCGACGCTGTGCTAAACTGAAAATCGTTCAACGCGTATCTTAAGGACGTTACTCGGTAAATCAGTTCTCTTTGCTTCCAATTTGGACCATGTACTATTAATCTATAATGTGTCTGCTCAAAAACTGTGCCTGTACCAAACTCGAGATATTCAATATCAAAGTTACTCGTGTGGCATGGGCGAAGCGTGTTCTACAGGGACATTTTAATTTATTGCGATAGAAATTGAAGATCGGGACACGTAGCTGTTTATGCGTAATTGTAGATCGGGCTTGACGGTTACTTTATTTTCGATTGTCTCGGCCACTGCAGCGGTTATAACTTAGATATCATTGCGACGCTATGCTAATCTGAAAATCGTTCAACTTTTAGCGCGTCTCTTAAGGACGTTACTCGGCAAATCAATTCTCTTTGTATTTGCTTCCAATTTGGACCATGTGCTGTTAATCTATAATGTGCCTGCTCATTTTAAAAAACCGTGCTTGTACCAAAGTCGAGATATTCAATATCAAAGTTACTCGTGTGGTACGGGCGAAGCGTGTTCTACGGGGATACTTTTATTTATTGCCATAGAAATTGTTTACACAGTTGGAAAATTTGTGTTTTCTTGTTAAAAAAAGCGCCGGTTAAAATTATCGTGTTAAACGTTTAACACATTTATGTGTTAATTTAACATATTGCTCGTGCGTTAATTGACCTCAAATGTAAAATTATAAAAATAACCGAAAAGAAATGTTAAAACAACGCAATGTGTACTTAATTTTTGATTTTACACAATGCATATGTTTTATATTATTGGTAACAAGATTTATCTGTTAAAATTTACAGAGTAAAATTATGATTTTATTCTAAATAACATAAGTGAGAGTGATTTCGAACCGTCATTCGACTTATTACGTCTGTAAAATGTAAAAATTACATTTCTTAAATTCATTTTGTCATTGAAAGTATGGTAGTTTTACACCAAATTTATTTCAAATTATTTTGAGATTTGCATTTATTTTGTGTTAAAATATTAACAGAGTATTAGTGCGATTATTTAACATATCCATATTATGTTAAATTAACCCAAAATTTTGTGTGGACCGTTTGGCACATGCGATGTCTGTTAAATGTAACACAAATTTTTCAACTGTGTATGTATTTTGCTAAAAACTAATCTACGATGCATAACGACGTCAGGAGTGATATACTATATTACAAGATAGGGACACGTAACTGTTTATGCATAATTGTAGATCGGGCGTGACGGTTACTTTATTTTCGATTATCTCAGCCACTGCAGCGGCTGATTACTTGAATATTATTTGAAAATTACTTGAACATTACTTGAATATCATTGCTACGCTATGCTAATCTGAAAATCATTCAACTTCTAACGTGTCTCTTAAGGACGTTACTCGGTAAATCAATTCCATATGTATTTGCTTCCAATTTGGACCATGTGCTATTAATAGTGTTATCTATAATGTGCCTTCTCAATTTTAAAAACCGTGCCTGTGCCGAAGTCGAGATATTTAATATCAAAGCATATCTCGTGTGGTATATGCGAAACGTGTTCTACGGGGACATTTTAATTTATAGAAACTGTTTCTGTACTTTGGTAAGAAAGTAATCTATGATGCATAACGATATCAGGAGTGACATAGATAGGGATACGTAACTGTTTATGCGTAATTGTAGTCCGAAATTCTTCATCTGACGATATTTCGAAGGGTGTCGGCCAATACATTCACAGAGGCAACATTGCCCGGTCTTCGTTTTTCACAAAGCGTGCTAGTGTACGCGTATAATACGCAGAGCTGCGTTAATTGTGTAGTGCGTGTTATTTACGCTAAAGCCTAATCTACAGTGTGCTCTCTGCATCTAGAAACATTTTGTTTTTTACGAAAAAAAAGTGTCACTTATAGTCACCGGTAATTATTAAAAATTACGACAGTGATTTGAAATTTTATTCAATAAATTCGATAAAATTTGCCAGTTGGGTTGACAACGAGCTTACTGTTTTAATACTATTTTATATAAACAAATCGGAACGCTTCAAATAATTATCGACAATGTACGATTGTACAGTGAACGATGTACAATTTATCCGGTTGCGCACATTTTTTTTAAACGTATTTGTTGACCACGAAATAGAATGTTTCCGTACGGAAAGAAACGTGGGCGAGAACTTTTGGCTTACGAACGCACCCGATGAACGTCTTTAAATGAGGATAATAAACGAACGAGCATGGAATAAAATCGCGAATAAGTGAGTTTCGTTTCCGCGGCGCGTAATTACGCGAGTTTGTAAATACGGTTCAATTAAACACTTGTACAAAGGGGAGAATGCGTTTCACGAGGAGCCTTTTCATTTTCCCTCCTAACCCGGAAAATAACTCGTCCGCGGCGTTTTTCGTGAAGGAAAAGATCGGCTCGACAATGGCCGAGGAATCCGCAATTGAAAAGAAATATATCCTTTATATCGCGGTTGATCCGGAACACCTTTGTATATTTGACAGGGTGAGAGGGAGGGCGGGAAAAGGGCTTTTGAAGGAGCTGTGTGCGGGAGAAGAAAGAGTGCGCGAAAAATCTAGAAAGTACGATCGCAGCGAACAAATATTCCTCGGCGTTTTTCCCTGAATATTTCCAACTATTTTATCACATTGTTTCGCGACCAGGTTTCACCCGGTGACATTTTTCGATTAAAATCCGTGATATATTTTGCATCTGGTACGCATTTGTTTCTGAACTCGCGTGGTGATCGAATACCTCAAGTACTCGTCATTTCGAAAGCGAAAAATGTCACACACGCATTTATTATCCCTTCAAGTGTTATTACTTTTTATTCTACTGTTGGAAGCTTCGGTTGAATCTTACAATTAGCGCCGTTAATTCGTCCGCGTGCCAAGGCCGCGAGGATCCGCGCGGAAAGTTGCAAGTCCGCTTAATGCTCTCTACCGCAATCTAGGATTAATAAATTGAATTATCTTGGAACAACTTACGTCGGATAACGAGACGGAAAGGAAAGCACCAGTGCTCGTTGGCCGTTTCCTAATAGCCGGGTGAAGCGCGATTGCGCTTCTTGGCACTGAGGCGGTTAAGAAATTTTTCTTTTACCGTTTAACACTGCATAGTCATTCACTTGCTTCTTCCGGATACTTCTTGCTATTAATTACTCGCGTCAAGAATGAACCGTGCGCCGATAAAATTAATGGTTCAAAGACCTAATGTTTCTTGCAACAATTTTTCCAACAAAAGACTCGTATTACGCTGATAAATTATTTCCCGTAGATTACTCGGCGGATCGTTTCAATTGTGTCTCCCGCGCGTCTTGAGCCTGTGCTTTACACGAAATTACATGTTATCAAGAGTAATAACTGCTTTACACGGAGATTGATAGAGCGAATAGTGGGAGATATTTTGCTATAGAGAACCGCTAATATGCACTCCGTCGGAAATAAACTTGCGCGCGCTCGCGTGCGCGCGCGGGCGCTCAAAATTGAGCATTAAAAATCCACGGGTTATCAAGCGGC